CCTCATTTGTCTGTAGGATAGGATGAACAAATTGAACTGGATCAGTCTCCCTGAATATGACAGAGTCCTAAGACCGTCCACCAGTTTTTTGCCCGTCGTTGCACCTGCCAGATGGCATCGCTATCTTTCTTCATCCAGGCATTCCGTATTCCAAGTGTGGTCTGCCAAACGTACCAATATCTTCTGATTGCCTTTTGGACAGCTCTTTTGCAGTGCTCGGAGGGCAGCAAGTTTGAACTTGTCTAGACACCTAGGTCTTTGTGCGTATCCACTACTTTTATTGAAGTCCAATTTACAATTTACTGATGTCTTGGGAAACGTCCCCGATCAGATTCCAAGCGCAGGACCACACATTTGGATACATTAAACGTTAGAAGCCATTTGCTGGATCATACAGCCAGCTTGTCAGTATCTTCTTGCAATTTCTGCGCGTTGTCGGCACAGTAGACTGTTTTCTAAATTTTTATATCATCTGCAAACATGATGACATCGTAGTCAATATTTACAGTTCAGTCGTTTATGAAGATGAGGAAGAGGAGAGGAACCAAGACTGAATCCTGCGGAACGTCGCCTTCCGCTGGCGCCCATTGTGATGCAGTGCTGCCAACAATTATGATTTGCAGCCTACCTGACTGGAAAATTTCAATCAACTTAAGATCCTACCTCGGATTCCACACTGCAAAATCTTCGGTAGGTGTCGTCTATGAGATACGCTATCAAACGCTTTTTGAAAGTCGAAGAAGATGACGCCAGTTAGACTGCTCTGGTCTGTAGCTGGTTTCCACTTTTCCTACGAGGCAGGACTACTTGTAAGACGTGAGAAACCACGACGGAATCCGTTCTATGCAACACATACTAGGTTCTTCTGCTCCGGAAAAAGTGAATATCGGACACTTCGTTCGCACATAGCTTTACTTGCTGCGGAGCAAATTGAAATCCCCCATGACAGCAACGTCAGGTCCCATAGCAGTCTTTGTATGCTCTGACAGATGAATGCCATCGTCGATGACAGTCTTCGGCGACGGCTCAATAATACCGGTCTCAAGAGCCTATAAATCCCCTCCTAATATGGCTGACCAGAGAGCCTGCACACTACTAGTAAACTTATTAGTCTTCTCAAACAAGGTTATATTCTTTAAACACACAAACACCACCACCCTGACAGTTTTTTTCATTTCTCTTAGGTATTTTGCTGCCTGGTTGTGCCGCCTCGAAGCCACAAACTGTTAAAATAATGCTGAAACCATCAAGGTAGTTTACTTATTTTCAGTTGCATATTATTCTGTCCTGTCATAAATAGGGTCTTTGAAGGCATTTAATCATGTCCTTAAAAATACTGAACTAAATGAGTTGAAAAAGGTCAAATAAGCTTGCAGAATCGAGGCACAGATCTCAAGGGGATCATCTATCTCTCACTGTCCAGGCTCATTTTGAGGCGTAAATCCGTCAATATTCCCATCGAAGCTTCTCACGACAGTGAAATCACAACTTCCGCGCGGATGATAGTCAAGAATGTGGAGTACCTTGCAAAAATGGGGAACTTCTGCACACTCATCCTTTCCTGTTGAGCGCGAAATATTAACTGGTCGTCTCTGAGGTTGTCGGTGGTACGAAGTTCAAAGAAGTCATCAGAGACCAGGTTGTAGTCTAATATCTTCACAATACAGAACGTGGAGTATATTCGACCGCCGACTGTTGGCCAGTTCGCGTAACTCCCATAAAGTCTGTTTAACCTAGATGCTTTATAGCCTGTCGAAATTAATTCGCCTGAGTTGGCTTACTTAGTGCCGCCCGTACGTAGAAACGGTGTAAATAAGCAGATTTGGACAGAAACACGATTATTATTATTATTATTATTATTATTATTATTATTAGTATAGCCCCATATTATTCGACTGTAAAGATCCTAGGTGATCCCTGACGTCATACATCTTGACTGAATCTTCAATGCTTTCACAAAATCCGGCGGTGCAGAGGAAAGTTTATGTAGTGCTTGACTGAGCAGTTGTTAAACATCCAGACTCCCTACATCTGCCCTGAAATATGTTCGTAGCCTCGGCTCATTAAATTAACGACGTTAAATTTGAAGATATGTCCCGTTTGCATGGCATGAGTTGTCACTGACTTCGGATCAAACCTTCGAATGGTCAGCCGATCCTTATACGTCCGCATTTGCAGTTCTCGACTGGGATAGCCTTCAGCGCCGGCCCGGCCTTTGCACAACCGAAAATGGCCTGGAGTCTTTACTGCTACATTCGCATCGGTACTGCACCGAGCTGGCTTTGACGAATTGTGGCCTTACCACTTATGTCATACAGGAAAACCAATACGATAATAGGTGTTGAGAAAAAGGCGCTACAAGGAGTTAAAAGCGCACACCGAAACCAGACAACCAAGAAAGTTACAATTCTTTAAATCTGCAAGCTAAGGTAAGTTCGAACTAACATGATTTCCTGAAGCGGTTGTTTAATGAGGGATGAGTTGGAGTCAGCAGTCTAATGTTGCCAAATAGTTACGACACCGACACTGTACACGCTGAAGCACCGAGTAAAAGCTTAGGAATAGACAAAAGTCGGGGCTTATGACTTGTATTAGGAAGATTGGGGGTTTGTGCTAACAAGGCTAGCGGGCCTCACTGATGGGAATAAAGTAGAGAAAATATTAGCAAAAGGAGAATAAATTCCCCCGCGAGCTCGTAATCGAAAACATCTCAGCCTGCAGAGCACCCATCGTGTTGTTCGCACACCAGGCAGGCATCTTCGACACGTCGTGTTTGACTCAAGTTTGAATCGTAGGTATAGACTGCACCTGGTTCCGATGCGAAAAACCCGAGTTGTTAAGTTCTACTCGAGTACACATGTTTACTAGAACTGCTTTTGACTGATAGAAGAATAAGACATCGGTAGACTCTGCCAAACTGCATTCTGAATTTGGCGGGTAACGGTAACTCCTCCCAAAGTTCTATTGCTATGCATAAAGACACAAAAACGCTCTGCATCCGCCCGGTGCGGTGACCTTCGGTGAAAAAGAAATTTGTGAGGGAGATCTCTGTAACAAAGAGTTTACTCGCCTGGCGTTCTAGATTCCTTTCTTAACCTAAAATCAGATGCAGTAACGGCAAAAGTAGCGGTCGCGCAGGGTGTACAGTAGTTATAGGCTGTAGCTGTCAGCCTAACACAGATATTAAAATTAGTAGTTGTTGTGTTAAACGCACATTTTTGATTGTTGCTTGCTTGGTTTGCTTAATCCGAGTCTTTACTTGACTGCTGACATGATTTGTGCTTGGAAGTTTGGATCAAGAGTACTGTTCCCGACTCACGCAGTTGTGGCCTCTCGCAAGTAGTTCAATCGATTCTAACGTGGGGGTGCGCCGGGGCGAGAAATGACGTCGCTCGTCCGCATTGCTAATGCGTATTCGGTCGTCTATGTAGGGAGAAGACTTCTCGTTTGTAATCTCAGGTGCCGACAAAAGGTCTTTAGCCCCCCCGACTCCAGGGTCTTGGAGCACTATGACAGCCAACTGCGGAAGTAGTAGCAATTTTTCCTAGTTGTCACGCTGCACAGACGGATAATGAGCGTTAAGTTCGCTCTGGCAAGTGTAATAAAACATACACTATGTCGACGCCAACTTTCAAGAACTGCCGACGCCTGATGGTTTGGATGGCCATCAAATTCGGAGGGCGACCGGTCTGGCGTTCAACGGCGAAGACGATAAATAGCAAGGTTTTCATCGATATCGTAAAGGATGCCTTCGGTTACAACGGCGTTTATCGACGTCGAATGGACACCGTAGCGTTGCAGGATAATGCTCCCACCCACCACTCAAAGGAGGTATGCTGTCACTTCAGCTTACGACTAAAATCTACTATTTTAGACCACAGCCAACCTCTCTGCCTGCGGCCTTCAAAGCATTTTCATTCCCACTAACAGCCCGGATCTAAATCACATCGAAAATCTTTTTGCACTAATCAAAAGAAATTGGAAAAAGGCACGGAAACATCTTTCTACGGAACAAAATTTGAAATTTCTGCTTAATACTTACACAGACCAAACCACTATAGACGACTTGGTAGTCTCTATGTCCTCCCGCCTTACAGCAACTTTAAAAGCCAAAGGACAATCAACAAAGTACTGACACGTTGTATTTGTTACTGTTTTTCATTTTTCTGTCGTTCTGTGAAATTTCCCTTCTTTCCTGACAGTTATATTAGACCCTGAATTGTTGGCCTGTCATACAGTCGACTTTTTGATTTGGTGGTTTTTTCCTAAAATAAGTTATTCCTGAGTCAATAACTAATACTTCATAAACCAAACTATGCCGTATTTTGAAGCTCAGTAGTATATTTAATGCAGTATAACTTTCGTGGATGCGGGGTGGCAGTATCGGGCGCTACAGCGATCTAAGTTCCCAGTTCACGACATTTCATCAGATAGGTCACGAACTGTAAGTACATTAGGTGGGCTACCTCATGAAATGTCAACCGAAATTCCGAAGTGCGTTTTCGTTTCGAAAAGATTAGTTAAATAGGGTTGTAAAACCAATCACTCTGAAGTATAATTCTATAATAATTCAGATACCTCAGGGTGCTGGCTTTCGAATGAACTTCCTTCCGACTGCAAACAAAAACTACACTCTGTAAAGAATGACTACTTGAGTAGCATGCATTTTTCTCATTGATTTTCGATGCCCCTAAAAGTTCAGTTATATTTCGTGGAAAGCATGCATAAAAATATTCATTCTTCCGCTCATTCGGTAGAAAATTACGTCTTCTTCCAATGTTATACTCGAAGGAGTGATGTGGTTCTGTTTTAGAAAAGTTTCTAATTGTGAGTCTTTTAAATACCGTGAAATGGCCGTTCATAAAACGTCTTGTATCTGCATTTACCAATATGGATCAAATCCAATGCAAAATTTTAATGAACTCCATATGGTCTCCTCTCAATACAGTAGAGAAATGTGTGGTTTTTCGTACGCGGAAAATACATGGCTTATAGTTTGGAAACCCTGAATGTAAGTGTGACGGCAGAGCGGGTTCAAAATTATTCGGGAATTAGAAAAGTTTTTGAAAACCGAATAATACCCTTCCTTCGAGTATAAAATTGGAAGAGGACGTAATTTTCTACCGAATGAGCGGAAGAATGAATATTTTTATGCATGCTTTCCACGAAATATAACTGAACTTTTAGGGGCATCGAAAATCAATGAGAAAAATGCATGCTACTCAAGTAGTCATTCTTTACAGAGTGTAGTTTTTGTTTGCAGTCGGAAGGAAGTTCATTCGAAAGCCAGCACCCTGAGGTATCTGAATTATTATAGAATTATACTTCAGAGTGATTGGTTTTACAACCCTATTTAACTAATCTTTTCGAAACGAAAACGCACTTCGGAATTTCGGTTGACATTTCATGAGTTAGCCCAGCCACTGCATGTCATTTTCTAAACTTCTTTTAGCCACTTCCAGCATACGTTTCGTAAGTGCTCCAGCGAAGGAAGTTATTCTCGTTTGTGCGAAATGGAAAGGAAAAAATACGAAGGACGTTTGGATGCCGATATAAAAATGTGCCACGAAAAATTCTGACATAAACTTCCAGATATTACTGAAATGTGATTGAGATTAAGTCTAGACAGACTACATCTAGCTACTTCCGTAAGCAAAAGTAGTCGCCGCAGTCTCCCTTATCTCTACCGTCAATGCTTCTGAATACCCTCAACTGGCGGGTACAGCCACGCGTCTGCAGTGAATCGGTAGTCGTGTCTGATAACAACGCGTTTTTGTTTGGTGTATTATTGCATGTTCATGGTGTATGGAGTGTCTAGTTTTGATCAAACCGTGCAGGTGTGGCAGGTCGCGTCATTTGTCTCCTGCAGGCGGTAGCTGCATCTCACGGTTCTCAACTGGCACCCAGCTGTCATCTGTGGCTCGCCAAAGCTGGCCTCAGCCCAGCGGTCACACCCCAGTGAACGCCTCGACCGGCGGGCTAGACCTTCTGAGGGTATGCGGTGTTGTGTGTCCCCACACCTGGTAATTCTGCTCTACCTTCTGTCCCTTATCGTCTCCTCCACTTCATAAAGCCCTATGGAGAGGGAAACATGCAATCACGTAAGCAACCCAGGTTAAAACAGGTCGCCCTTCACTACACAAAGTCGTGAACCGTAGCGGAATTCGCTAGCCATTTGGGATGTATAAGCGGCCCTAGTCAGGGATAGTATTGCCTACCCTCTCGCGGAGTAAGGAGCTAGAAAAGGCGCCCTAAACAAATGCTGGGAAATCACGCCATCTGCAAAGTGACTGTGGCTCGTAGATGCAAAACTTGAGTTTGAAATACAGCAATAAACACCAACAACCCTTCTTCCCCTCTCTTCATTTCCCTCGGGTGCTGGGGTGAGTCTGCTCACTCTGGCAGCTTTCAATATCCTTTCCCTTTTAGACAGTCTGGGGAACAACCGACCAGAACGGAAGACAGCGCCATTCGCTCGAGAACTGGCGCGCCGTGAGGTGGACATTGCTGCTCTCTGCGAAAGCCGCTTCTAAAAAAGACCAACTGGAGGAGGTGCGTGCCGGCTACATCTTCTTCTGGAACGGCCGCCTGAAGACAGAGCTACGAGATGTGGGCGTCACCTTTACCGCAGGATACCAAAGCCCGCCTTATGAGCCTGCGCGTGCCTCTTTGGAGAGCTAAACTCGCCACCATCGTCAGCGGCTACGGCCCCCCCCAATGACTGGCTCCGACGAGGCGAAGACCAAGTTTTATGAAGACCTGCACGCCCTACCCTCGACTGTGCTGAAGGCCGTTGTCCTTGCTGACTTCAGCGCCTCTGTCAGGACAGACCATGCTGCCTGGAGGGGACTGCTGAGTCCCTATGGTCCCGTCGGTTGTAACGACAACGACCTGATTTTTCTGCGAACCTGCACGGAACATTGTCTCCTCCTGACTAACATTTTCTTTCGCCTTCCGACGTGGAGGAAGGCGAGCTGGATGCCCCTCTGATCGCGGCGCTGACAGCTGTCGAATTACATTCTCATCCATGTGCTAGATCGGTAGCACGCGTTGATGACAAAGGCGATCTGTGACGCCGATGACTGGACGGAACATAGTATCGTTCTTTAAAAGATGAGATTTCGCCTGGGACCTCACAAAGACCACAAGGTGAGCGACCACCAGGTAGGTTAAATACTACGCTGTTAAATTTGTCTGCTCGCTGCTTACATTTCAGCAATCAGTTGGCTCAACACAAGAAGAACTTCAGGATAAGGACGACAAGGTCATCGTGGAGGCAAGGTAACGCCAACCGCGGAACGCCATCCACTCCATCGTTCTGGACGACTTCGTCAACGCCACGGTTGGTTTGATGACAGCAATGTTCGCAGAGAATAGGCTGCACAGGGCCTACGTCAAAGTAGGAACTAATGCTAACAGGGTAGCCTACTTCGGGTGTCACCACCGGGTGTGGCAACGGCCGCGGGAAACACAGGACTCCTGAATGGACAGAGAGGCCGAGGAAATCCAAGGATAAACGGACCCCAACGAAATAAAGAACCTCTTCGCTTCCATCAAGGAAGCCTATGGCCCCTCACTGAGGGAATCGCACCGCCGCTCAGCTCGACGAACCGGAGAAACTTTAGAACATAAAGCGCTGGGCCAAGCACTTCAAAAACTTCCGCAATCACTCATTCACGATTTCCAAAGCCGTCGTCAGGTGGAAACGAACAAGAACCTTGACCTCCCGCCTCCCCTCTCAGAAATAATCAGAGCAGTACACCAAAGCTCCAGCAGGAAGGCACCGGTATCCGACGCGATCCCGACTAAAATCCACAAGCGTGGAAGCCCCGACTGATAGACAGACTTAAAACGATGCTCAAATAGATGTTGCGTCACAAGCAAGCTTCCCAGAATTTTAAGGGCACGCCCATCGTCCATCTCTACAAGCGGAAAGAGAACCGACAACTCTGTGACAATCGTAGAGGAACCTCACTGTTCAGTATTGTTGGAAAGATCTTTGCTCGCATCCTCTTCAATAGTTTAAATGGCTATCTGGGACACGGACTTCTTCTAGAAAGCCAGTGGGACTTCCGACGGAATCGCGGAACGACCGACTTGATGTTTGCGGCCTGGCTACTGCAGGAGAAGTGCCAGGAGATTCAGGTCCACTTCTACGCTATCTTCGTGGACCCGAAGAACGTCTTTGGAACGATGAATCGTGATGGAATCAGGAAAATAATGCAGAAATTCAGGTGTTCCGAATAAGTCTCACACGGCGGGATGATAGTGCATGTCACTCACAATGAGACGATCTAAGAAGCATTGGCAATGGCCAATGGAGTGAAGTGGGGCTGCGTACTCGTTTCTACCCTCTTCAGTTTGTGTCCTCTGCATTACTCCCGGACGCTTGTCGTGATGAGCGCCCTGGGATCAGCGTCGTCTACAAGAGCGACGGCCAGCTTATCAACGCCCGACAAATGCAAACTTCCACGGGGACCGCAACAACCACTGCTCGTAAACCGCTCTTCACGGACGACAGCACATCCAAAGACACGGCGGAAGCAGCCATGCAAAGAAGCATGGACCTCTTCGCCTTCGGCTGCGCAAACTTCGGGCTCGCCATCAACACGGACAGAACGGTGGTCATATAACAATCCACACCAGGGGAGGAACACGCAACGACCCGTATCAATGTGAATGGAACACGGCTTGTATCCGCGGACAAGTTCGCCTGCCTAGGCAGCACCATCTCGAACAACGCCAATATAGACAATGAAGTGGCCAAAAGGCTCTCCAAAGTCGGCCGGGTTTTCGGCCGGCCGCAGGCCGCCGTCTGGAACCGTCATGCACTTCCACTCAAAATGTACAGGGTGGTAGTCCCGATAACGACGGCCTATGAGACAGATACATGGACTGTCTACGCCAATAAAGCCAGGGAACTCAATAATTTACACATTAACAGTCGCCGAAGTATACTAATGTTGAGATCGCAAGACGGTTTTCTGGACAGAGAAATATTGGAACGAACCGGAATCCTCAACATTCACGTCATACTGAGGAAGACTTAACTGCGATGGAGAGGCCATCTCGTGAGGATGGACGACGAGCGCTTACCCAGGAGATTCTTCTAAGGCGAGGTCGTTGCGAGTACTTGCCGACAAGGCCAAAAACGACGCTACAAGGACACCCAGAAAAGGTCTCTCAAGAAACTGCAGATCAGTTTGGAGACTTGGGAGGACCTCTTCCGGGAGCTACCGGTCCGAGGGCGAGGGGGGAAAAGTGGAGCTGCAATCAGTGAAGCCAACCGGATCGCCGCTAACGAAGCCAAAAGAGCAGCTCGCAAGTCACAGGTGTTTCCAGCCCACAACTCTAACACTCAACTCCCTCCAACATGCCCACGCTGACAAAGAACATTCCACACGCGAATCAGTCTCTTCGGACGTTCACGAACCCAGTGCAACAACGACCTGAGAACTCTACTTCTGTGTCCGCAAAGGCCCCTATCGTTACAACCGCACCAACAGCCGCGACAGCGACCAACCACCGCCACCGATGATCACACTCCTGGTAGAGGGGCGCTAACCGATCGTTTTTTTACGGAACTCACTCGTCCCATCGTGTCTTGGGGCTCTCTCACGAGCCCAACCAGCAGACACACAGTGGCGCACGATATAGGCAGAACAGCATTACCGACATAGACAAGGGAGACTGAAATGGCCATTTCTGGCTTATTAGCCGTCCTCAGCCAGTCGTACCCGACTGCGAAATATGAAACACCTGGGGCCAGATCCCGTGATCTGTTGGTTAGAAGTCCAACACCTCTAACCACTGAGCCAGGGGCTCGTTGGTCCGTCAGTTGCGATCGGAAATATACAATGGTAGAGGGGCGCTCGCAGCTGTGTGCCTGCTGGTTGGGCTCGAGAGAGAGAGAGAGAGCCCTAAGGCACAACGGGACGAGTGAGTTCCGTAAAAAAACGATTGGCTTGAACCCCTTATCAGGAGCGTGATCATGACAGTTCGACCATCGGTTTCGATGATGTCCACCGTGTGCCCCACAGTTGCAGCAGCAATGGGAGCAGGGACGGTGACTTACGCAGGAGTTTATAGTGCCGGTAGACTTGCGTAGCATCTACCTACACTCTCTCCTCCTCCCTCGCCCGAGCCCGGTGTCAAGACAGAGTCAAGAAGACCGGAGCGTGATCATAGGTGGCCACAGTATGCTCCAAAACAAGTTGGGTACAAGGACGGCGACTTGCGCATGACTTAGCTTATAGTGATGGTAGACGTACGCTGCATCTACCGCACTCTCGCTTCCCTAACTCATCTTGGTCCGGTGTCAAGACGGAGCCAAGAAGACCGGGGGGCAGAGTCGGGAGCAGATAGGTGGCGCGACGTGAACTCACGCCTAGGTGTGCTATGACGCCTCAAGTATGGCATTTGCTATGGGTGTGCAGCCGAATAGCGCGCGTCGCACCATGATCTGGCCCCTGCCTTTGTCCGGCGCAAATCCTACACGACCAGCAATGGGTGGCAAGCCCCATCAACCGCTACCTTCTTCACCAGCAACATGAACTTAATCACAGCCTGTCCCCACCGCGATTGCATCTGCACCTCATGCAACAGCTTGATCGATCACTTGCGAATTCACCGCACGGAGACTGGCGAACCAGTGCTTGGAGAACCAACATACACCCATCGCAAACGCTCGCAACGTAAATTCCGTCACCGCATGGACCTACTTGGCCACCATCGCATCCATGAAAACCTGCGGCAATGCACTGCTGGCCAAACCCCATCACACCATATGTCCTCACCATCGCCTGCATCACACGCCAACGCAATCACGGAATCGGTGCCTCTCACGCCGGTGGGAACTGTGCTCCTCGACTCCCTGTTCAAGTTGAACCCGTGGCACCCTAACATATTTGAGGTCCGAGCAATCCATACCCATTGTGTGAAATCCTAATATGCGGTGTGGGAGGCAGGTGGTGTGTACGACACGCGCAGACGGGCTTCTGTCAGCCAGCGCGCCAGTTGGTTGACCGGCTCGGACAATCGACGGGTGCACGACAGTGGGAAGAGGTTGACGACCTCAGCGCGCACCTCCCACTACAAACAGTCTGACGCGCCAAAAGCCGTGGCTTGAAAGGCTGCCAACCGTCGGCATAACTCGATCCTCTTGTCAGGACGGAGAGTCAGGCTGCATTCGTCCCCTCTTAATGTGGTCTCTATGGCACTCCCATACAGTTGAGGTCCGAGCCGCCCCTTTCTTGTGAGGTCCTGGCCCTGCGTCCGATGCCGCCTCCGGCCCTATTGACTCTGTCCTGACTAGGTAGCTCAGGGAGGTGAGAGAACGGTGTGCCCAGCGAAGGTCTACTATCACTATAAACTAACTCATACGCAGGTCACCGTCCCTGCGCCCACCCTCCTGTGGGGCTTTGTCGAAAGTGACGGCCAAAGCGTCATCACAGCATAATAGCATCAAAGGCAACTTAACCGTCGGACGGGGCGTAATATGATAATGTCATCACGTCTGGGCAGGCTCTGACACCGCATAGTGTCCGGGAAAGCACGCAGATCGAAGCTGACCAGTCATCTCCAAGGCTGACGTAGACACACCTTCACTCAAACCAATCGGGCGACTGCCCCGGCGGGCGCGCGTCCGGCTACTGGAATGGCTCCAACTCGTCTATTATTCG